GCGCGCGCGCGCACACACACACACACACACACACACACACACACACGCACACAGACACACTCACAATCAATCAATCAATCAAACCTTTTTTTTTTCAAGTTTTTTGTTTATTTATTTTAAAATTTTGCATCTTTATTTTTCTAAAACACATCATACCCCTGCAAAAAACAGAAACTGATTTCAAAAAAATACAGGTGAACTCAGGGACCATATATCTGATGATAAAAAATGACAAAAAAAAAATCCAGCTTTTCTTTCTTTATTTTTTTTTAATTTCTTTAAATCGAATTTAGATTTTGATTTTTTAAAAATCCTAAACAAAGTCGGATTCCAAAACAAAAAATATGACGTCGTAGGGCTTAAAATTCCCTACAACCCCATATGTTTTATTTTGTTTTTGGCCATTATTTAATTCAGGAAAATTCTGGTAAAATCAGGTCCGCGGCGCGGACCAGGTCGGCCGCGGACGCGGACCCGTCTGCGTCCGCCATCCGAGATCGGACCCGCGGACGCGTCCGCGGGTGTTACATAGGCTCCGTGGGAAAACGGAGCCCGGGGCTGACAAGAGATACGACCACAGCCCCAGGAAACATCAAACAGCAATCTGTGTTACAAGATGAATCAATGGGACGCTGGACCCGGTTTCCAGCAGGTGCCGCTCCCCGCCAGTAGATGGAACAGCCCGACAGATAAGCCCGACATTCTGACGGTTCTCCTACCACCGCCCGGATAGAGGGCTTACACAAGGGTTAAAAAAAAAGGAATAGGCTGATTTGCTCATGGGATGTCAGAGCCCTTCTAGGCGCAGTCAGATATCATCATTGCCATTCTATTTTTTTTTTTTTTTTTTTTTTTAAAGGAGAATTTTGGGGCGGGCAAGGAGACGGAAGGAGGACCTACTGGTTCCCCCCAATGGCTTCTGCAGGTATCCGTGCCAGGGCATGGGTTAAGGAAGGGAGACAAAGGCTTTTTTCTTTTTTTTCTTTTTTTCTTTTTTTTTATGAAAAGAAGCTCCATCTATTGGTGGGGAGCGTCACCTGGGGCGAGATCCCACTACCGATGTATGTGGAGTAGCAGATAGGGCGTGTGACCCTTCGGCGCCGTTGATGAGAACGGTGATCAGTGGTGTTGTTTTTCTTGGTTTTCGGCATGGGGAAACATATGACTTTTGGGGGGCTCCCATTGGGTGGCATTTCTGTTGTTTTTGTTGCGGTGCTCCTCTGGGGGTCATGAACGTGAGTGAAAATTGTTCCAACTTTTTTGGGTTGGATTTTCACGCACCTTCCACTTACTTTTTTTTCTTTTTTTTCAAAAGCTATATTCTTCTCTCATCTATCTCATTTTTCTTGCTAGTACTCAACTATCTCATCCTCTCACTAGTGTATGTGTAGTAGGGGGGAACACCAACCAACCCGGATCTCTCCCCAGCCCACGGGGTAGGTTGGCACCACAGCAGTGGTGCGAGAGCAAGGCTGTACCAGTCCCTCATCACGGCGAGGGGTGGGCAGGCGATGTGGGAAATCGGCGGTGCTAGCGCCGAGCAATGGCCAGTCACTGCACCTCCCCCTAACCCCCCCCAAACCCCACATGGCGGTGTCTAATGGCCAATATTGTAGCTGCATAGCAACCAACAACATCAACCAAGGTCCTGCCAATGCTGGCTTGGGGGGCCAATGGGTTATCTCTAGCAGGTAGAATACCAAGCTTGTTGCCCATGCGTTCAAAAGAGGCTGAAAATGAAGGGATGTCAGTTCGTGTCAGAGTCTTCCACAACTTGTCTGTCATTCCAAGCCTCCCGTTGGGGAATCGGAACAGCCTGATGCAAGTGGACACTTTGCTTATGGGAAAGTTAACAAATGCGTGTTGGCCTCATGTACATGGTCCATGAACTGTCCACATGCACAACATACCAGTGGAATCATCAGAAGATCCACAACCTGACAGCTGACTGCAGTTCGTGGCGGGTGGACAACATTGCGTTGTCAGAATTGCAGCATTTTTTTTTTTTCAACATTTATAGCGGAGTAAAGCATGCCACGCGGATGTCGCCCGCACGTCCCGCAACCGTCACACTACTCCACGTACATCGTTAGTGGGATCTCCCTCCTGCTGGGAAACGCGCCCAGCGTCCTTATACAATGATTCAGAAAATACAGAGAGCACCTGAGAAAAAACAGAAAAAGAGACTGGAAACAAGCCTGCCAGCATTGATTGCTCTGAGTTCAGCGGATCGACTGTGCAGATACACCCTCCCACCTTCCGGGTTGTTAAAACCCCCCTTCCTCAATCTATGTCACGCAGAGTGCCAAAGGGAGCCACTGGGGGGCACCAGTGGATCTTCCCTTCGACTCCTCTTCCGCCCCTTCTATCTATTATCGACCATACCCAAGACCCTTACGAAAAAACGGGGCTTATTAACGCCAAAGGGCTATCATGTTCTAATCTCCAGGGCCAAAGGGGTCCGGAAACTCTTCTGCAGGTCTCATAGAAATTTCTGGGCCGATCTCCATCCAGTTCTTAAAAACGAGGCAGTAGTCTGGGGGGGGGTTCCTCTCCATGCTTTCCTCACAAGTCCCCCTATCTGTAAACTCACCCTCTAGCCATCTCACCTCTGCCACCCATCCCCCGTGATCCCCACCTACCCAATCCTTGGAGAATCTGGTAATTCGTTCCCTAATGTCCTTTTTTCCATGAAGAGAATCAGGAACTCTTTTGTTTTTTTCCCACTGCCTAGAGAGTTCTAACTGAAAATG